GTATCTGTCTGATGCTGTGCAGGAAATTCCATCCTCTCTCTGGCCTGTTTCAGATTCCCGTTGTCTTTAGTTTCCATGGACACTGGGGCTTCCTCCGACATAGAAGTCTAGCTCTCTGATCCTGTTAATTTTTCCAGAATGCTTTTCAGATTGTTGATGAAAACTTGTAAGTAGTGACTGAAACAAGGTAGAATGATCAGAAGGGACTGTCACGGCCAGAGCTTTTTCAATGAAGAGAACCGAATTGGTCAGCTTATGGCAGAGAACAATGCAGATAATAAGGGTATTGTTTTGCAAGTCTTGGGTGGTATCTATTTTATGTCTTAATATAAAATACATTTTTACTGGGGATACAATGGGAAAAGTTTGAAAACTATCATCCTAGCATACAGGACTGTGTGCAGAAATGTTGGGAGAGCTACTGCCGATGCGATGGTGTCGTCCTGCGATTACCCTGGGGGCCTCATGGGCTCTCGGCCACTGAAAAGTCTGAATTCTCCCGCTGAGAGAGCTCAGCCGCCTTCATACCGAGGCTGCCTCCCACCAGTCATGCGCAGTGGCTCGGGAAATGCCCAAAGAAAACCAAGTGGCCCCTGACGACATCAGCCCAGTAGGCATGTGAAAACCTGAGAATCTCTTTTTTCCTCTCTCTGTAGTTATGTTAAAGGAAGCATCTGTATCGGGAAGTCACCTCTGGGTTTCCCATTGGCATGTGTGTGTGCTTTTTTGATCTGGTCTTACTGGGAAATGAATGAAGTATTGGTTGGCTACTAGGAGGCATTAGTTATCCAAGCGTGGCTTAGGCTGACTTGAAGCCACACTCCCCAATGCCTAGGCCATGGGAAACCTCCAGAGCTTCCCAGGGCTCATCCTGATGCTGGCTGATCCCGGAGCGTGGGGTCAGGGAGGACACGAGCTTTGGGGGTGGGGTCCTGCGCGTTCAGCGCGCGCACACACACACACACACACACACACACACACACACCCCTGTCAAGAGCTACAGTTGGAAGCTAGAGAATTTCTAGACCACTAAGTCGCGGCCTAGATCATTCTTCCCCAGGCAGCTCCCAAAGCACTCCAAGTACCCGAGGGCGACTGCGTCGCATACGAGACACGCGGTGGGGACTGAACAGAGAAGCCTGGGACAGCTCCTTCCGAAACGCGTCCAGTCTACTTTCTTAAGAGTCAGGGCTTTCTCTTTTGTCATTGCAAAGCTTTTCATTTTTCTATGAAAATTTTGCATTATATTTTATTACTAACCTCACTAAAACATATTGGAAGTTTAAGATTAAAATTGAGTCAAATAACTGATCATACTATTTACAAATATTTTGATCTGAAAATGTGCTCTATGTTTAGTGTTTCTGTACACTGTTGATCTCTAAGCACACACAATAGTTAATTCCAGACAGTAAAATATGCTTTTCTCTTTACTTCCAGGGTACTGAGAAAAAACAAAATCGACCACTTAAATGAAAACACTTTTGCGCATCTCCAGAAACTAGATGAATTGTAAGTCAGACTAAACGTATAATGTTAAGAATTTTATTTCTATTCTTTTATGTCATTCTTGGTACACATACATGTGCTTATCCTTTTTCTTTGTATTTTGTGTTTTTCAGCACGTTTGCCACGTGTAATATGTCCACCACTTGTGTGGGGTTGGTGAACGCGCAAAGCACGGCTTCATTGCTTTCTCACCTCTTTTCCCTCCATTTAATTTTATTTTAATTAAGTTGATTGTTACAGTTGGGGCATACAGCTTCTCTTCTGTTTCACCCCTTCCCTGCCCCTGCCTTCAACACCTCTTCCTGTCTTTATTCACAAAATTTTGTTTCCATTTTTCTTCTCTTCTTTGCCCATTTTTCCTTTCCCTTCCTTTCCCTCCCGCCCCCTTCCATAGTTCCCTTTGCTATCTGGATGATTTATTGCTACTTCACAACACCTATTGTACATTTTGGCTCTTATTTACTCTTTCAGTTTGTCATACCAGAGAGAGAATATGATATTTACACATCTGTGTCCACTTTATCTCACTTATAATTATGGCCTCAAGGCCCGTCCATTTAGCTAGGACTGTACCAAGTATATCCTTCTTTCTGGCTAAATATATATTATTTATATTATCTTTTTTTAATTCATCAGTTGATGACATTTGGGCTGCGTCTTCCAAGATTTAGCTGTTACAGACTGCGCTGCTATAAACATAGGCGTGCATATATTGCTGTGATATGATGCTTTTAATTTAAAAATAGACAACCGAGGTAATGCATGCTTCCAGAGGAAGAAGTACAAGCAGCAAATAAATACGTGAAAACATGCTCAACATTGCCGACCATTGCAGAGATACAGTCTCCCACTGTTCTAGGAGAGCAGACTGCTGGAACCGCCGTGGAACCCCAAGGATCTAGTGTGGAGATCCCCAAGGATCTAGTGTGGAGATCCCCAAGGATCTAGTGTGGAGATCCCCAACGATCTAGTGTGGAGATCCCCAACGATCTAGTGTGGAGATCCCCAACGATCTAGGATTAGAGGTCCAGTTTGACCAAGCTATTTCCCTTCTTGGTATTTCCCCCCCCCGCAACACACACACACAAAAAATTAAAAGTATCATTCCTATTTTTCCTGATCCCTTTTCTATTTAAGAAGCATCTGTCTCCTTACTTCCTATTGTCTTTTATTTTGCTCTTTATTTATGCTTTGGGTTTCTTATAAAAGAGAAATCATGAATTACTTAAGCATATGTGTCTGATTCATTTCACTTAGCATTATGTTCTCAGTGTGCATAATTTTTCTATGAATGACTCAAGTTTGTCTTTATGGCACAATAAGACTTCATTATGCATAATTTTCAGAAAATAAAAGTATTCTCTTCCAGAGCACTATTTATATGAAACTTGGGTTACAGTGAAATTCAGGCAGTTTGCAAAAATAAACATAAAATATTTGAAAAAAGTTGGATAATGGACACAACTATAGGCAAAGGATAAGACCAGGGTAAAATTCATTCGACATCATTGTATTCCAAAAGAACAGAAATTTTGTCTTTAACTTCCCTTAAGGATCAAGACTCAGGGACCATAAAATAAAAGACATCACTCAGATCCATGAGGAAATTACACACTTCTGTGGCTAGTATCCCTACCTAGGGCAATTGAAGAAAATTAAGTTAAAAATAATCATTTTATAATTTTCATATCAAACACCAAGGGCATAGTTATAAAGGGCATTAAAATAATCCTACGCTGCACCAAACACTTATGGTACAGGCACGAAAATAAAACAGCTGTGGAGCAAGGAGTGACGTGCAAACTCTTAAGGTCATTATTCATTTTTTTCAGTATCAATTTTCTGGGAAGTAAATGGAGAATAAACAAGTCAACATGTTTTGACAATTATGTGGGCAGAGCTCCAATTTGTCAAAACTTTTCCATGAGACATAAGGAGTATAACTAGACTGTTAGGAATGTGACACCTGGGCACCTCACCTAAGTCCTGAGGCAAGTGGAAGAAATATGCAAGTCCCGAGCAAAAAGTTTAGGTAACAGTTTTTCATTTTGCTCCAAAACATCAATAAGCAGACCACTGAAACCATTTTGTCCTGTAATCTCTCACAAAATAGCAAGAGAATCTTATTAACTACTTAGAATCAAGGTCCTGTTGTAAGCGCTGGTA